CACGCAATCAAAAATACGTAGTTTTATAAGTACAATTATTATTATTACTCAAGTGGGAAGTTAGTGTGATGTTTGGCGCTGCATTTCATCGGCCAGTTTTTCAAATTTGGGAGTGTAGGATGATGTTGCTGCTCGCAAACAATCGTCAAGATGGGCATCAGTAAGTCGAGATCTGCGCCTTGATTTTATAATGTTTGTGGTTGAACGGCCTTCATTATTCAGTATAACCTCTTTCCGTAACAATGCGGGCACCCAAAAAAATCCTTGGCTGGCGATACGTTGGGGACCACTGGTGTACAGTATACCTTAACTTCACTGTTCCTAGCTTTTCATATTCTTGTAGCTTGCTACATTTCTTTCACAATCTTCAACTACAATGTATGTTTCTTGTAGAACTTTCATTTATAATGTAATTCTATTGCTGTGTAATTTTTGTTAGTCCAAAATACTTTGGCCGTATAAATAGATTCGAAAATATTGTTCACTTTATTTTTTAGGATACTTCCCACCTCAATTTTCATCTTAAATTTCAGAATGTGGATGAAACAGTTTACTAATGGCATTTGCTACAATCTGTTTATATCTAAAAGAAGACACGGCTTCCACTCAACATAACAACGCTACCTACAAGTTGGCACAACTTTAAAAACACATATATCCTGCAATATCTTACAGAAAAAATTATATTTCATACAGGCAAAAACTTTTACATATTGTCATCAGATGTCCTACTCCCAGAAAAAAAAATAACGCTGCTATGTAAATGTGAGATCCACACAGCCACAAAAAAGAGGCTGTCAGCACACCTCACATTAGTGTAAGCTCCAGAGAAGAAGTCATAAACTGAGTGGTTGGTTCATACCTTGAGAGAAGTGACATTTTCAAGGAGGGTCTTGGAAGCTTCCTGTAGCTGGCCGTTCTCACCCTTAAGCATTGTGACAGTTGTGTTAAGGTCACGAATCTGGCTGCCAAATGAAGCCACACTGGTTGAGAGACTCTGAACATCTTCTGGAAGATTCACGAGCTCCGGAGCAGCCTTCAGTCTCTCCTCTACAACATGCAGTCCAGCCTGGACCCCTGATAGCTGTGTGCAGTCATATCAGATATCATCAGACAATGAGACACAATGGTAAAGCGTCCAATTTTTATTTGATAGGAATATTTTAAAAATCTTAGTCAGGGCTCCTGAATGAAATCTTTACACAGGAAAATGAACAGACAGAATCTTGAAACAGGCTACAACTGCTTCGTTCCACCTTCCCGTTAAATTCAAAACAGTTCACACTTGTACATTAATCCAGAAGTTTTGTTTCACACAAACAATCTTGACTGTCAGTCCAAATACACAAACATATTTTAAGCTTAACACATTCTGAATAAGAAAAGTATAATTATTTTCATATGGTATGACAACTGTAATGATTCCACACTTTGATATCATCTGTAGTGCTACTCTAGGCAGCCAGGAACTTAAAATGTTACATACAAGGATTAATTTAAAATTAGCATCCCTATGTCATCTCAAGGGAGTTTGGATGACATTAAAATACAAATAATTATTTTCATCCTTAGTTTTCTCCAGAAGAAACAGACATAAAACTTAATTACACATATTTAACAGACCTGAGTACTGAAATTCTCCAGCTGTAGAGTGAGGGTGGAAAGGTTTTTGGACAGCGCAGTCTGGTTCTGCTGGAGCTCTCTGGACAGTGAATGGCATTTTTGAAGCTCCTCTGGAACTCCCTGACTACCTGCGGCAACTGAAATCACAGAAAACATTGTAACGTAACTCATATGATGCATCTTTATGGTCAGAATACTAAGTAAATGTCAGCTTTCCTCCAGTGGATTAATTCAGTACTACTCACAACTGTTGAATTCTAAAAACAAATGAAAATTAAAAGCACTTATTGTACCCACAGACACTCTTCATATAGTAAATGCTTTATTAAACAAGAAACTGTAAGAAAAAAAGATAAGGAAAACAGTATGAAGTGTTCATAATTCAGAAGGTAAAAGTATTTCATATGGTAGCACAATCTGTAAATAATATTCTGACTGTCTTACAGTTTAATAGCAGCAAAATTGTTTTATATCAATTTCCAAACATTTTCAAATTCAAGTATTGTATTGCAGTGTCATAAATATCAAATCTAAAACTTCTTGACGATGGTGAAGAGTCAATTGAATAAAAATTTTCTTGGATATTATCCATCGTCTAGTAATTATAAAACGTAAGAAACGACGTTTCGGAGATGGGACTCTATCTCCGTCTTCAGGTTCATACACAGTTGGGCCCACTAGATAGAGCTAATCCCTATCTCCGGAGATAATTTTTATTCAAGTGTCATAAATGTTTAATGAAGTAGTAGTATGGGCTATAACTTTAGTTGAAAATTAGAAAAGACATTGTAAATAGAGATCCCATCCACTATTTAACCACAATAATTTTCCTGTTCAACAACATTACACAAAATCATAAACAAAAGAGTAATACTGTTACAAGAAACGCCAGCAACTGGAAGGAGTGTTGGCAAGCTAGTAAAGATCTAACCTTCCTCACTTCAATATTCTTCTCGACATCTTTCCAGCCTGCCTTACACGAGCATCAAGGCTTTGTAGGTACTTAAAAATGGCACTGAGTAAAGAATATATAAAAAAAACAGGACTGTAGAATTTATAATGAAAAGAAAGGTGCATCAAACATGTACTATGACCATTTTGGAGAAATTTTGTCACCCCCTGAAATTATTCATAAAGTCTACAAGCTTACTTAGTATATGCAATGGCGACTTTTTATCACGTAACAATTTAAGAAAAACATTATTTAATAAAAGTATCCACATACATGTCACCAGACTATACAAACTGCAGTGAAACTGCCTTACAGGTTTAAAATTACATTCAAAATTCTAAGCAATTAACAGGCCGATCAGTAAACATCAGAGACAGACATCTAAGGCCAGAGTTCACATGCAGAAAATCCTTTGCTGAATACTGAACAAAGAATGTTTACATCCTTGAAGATTTACGACACTCCTAGTTAAGAGTACTACTATCCTGTTTTTTTGCCTGGTGGGTTTGAGAAACCTTTAGAAGAGTTGTCAGTTTGTAATTGAATAAGGAGCCCTAGCCACTGCACCATTAAACAGTTCTGGAAACCTTAAAGGTAAATTTCAGCATGGAAGGACGAAGGAAGGCTGAACAATTTCTGGTACAAAAGTTAAAGGCATATAACACGGCACCTTGGTCGAGCTCATTGCGCAGGGAAGTCACCTGCTCCCGGATGTCGATAAAGAGCCACATGACAGTAGTAGTGGCAACTACGCAAGCAAACACGAGAGCCGCAGTGCACGCACGTAGCAGCGAGCCACACACACGTCGACGGAGAATCAGGCGACACCGAGGGCCTCCGCCCCCGCCATTGCTCCCGCCGCTACCTCGGTCTTTTCCACTCCAATAATCATCTTGCTCATCAGTGGACTCGGATAGAAGCTGGTCCTGAGAGCTAGCCCCTCCACCGCCGCCCCCCACACGCTTCCCAGGGCCCGAATGGGCCACAAGAGCATCCAGTTCTTTCCGTTTCTTCATCTTCTTACCCGCTCTCAGGGGGACGTTCACATGATGGGTCGACTCCATTGCAGCGCGTCAACACATTGAAATAAAGCACTATTATCAAGGTATCACAGATAACAAGTGGTTTTCGTTGTTCAAGTCATAATTAACGCCGTGACGAGCACACACCAGCTGCGAACGCCATTGATCCGCCCGCGCCGTCGCAACACGTTATCAGCATGACAGTGCGTGGTTTCAACAGAACAAAAGATAGCACGTATTGATCGCGGGTTGTCGCAACGCGTAGGCACCACACTACTCCAAATCAGCACTAGATGGAGGTGAGCGGTCAGCTTCACGCTCCGACCGTTTTGTCGACAAGGTCCCTTCAAGAAATCAACCAGTGTCCAGATCGCAACGACACACTTTTACAGACTCAGTTACACCGTTCATATTGATCTTATGTCTGACTAAATCGGCGTCTCCTTCGTGCGTTATGTTCGCACTACGACTGATGACGTCACGCGAATTCCATCGACGGAACGATGGACTCACTGGCGTGGATATGAATTTACGTTAATCCTGCTGCCATCTGTTGTCAGTAAGAGAATAACTGTATACTAAAAATAAATTCCCCATCTCTCCCCAGGTTTGCCAGTAATTTGACTAGAGAGTGCCCTGAAGTTCGAAAGTGGCTGTTTTTTGAGTTGTTGCACCATATAGTCAGGGGATGATGATGATGATGATGGAGACAGCAAGGACCTCTGAAACGTCGGTAAACTACTACCAGACTCCATGGTGCAACAACCCAGAAGACAACTATCCTCAGACTCGCTGCCATGAAAACCTAAAATACAAACAGAAGTTCAGAAGAATAAAACATAATTTATTTACAGTCCACAGATCCTTCATAGACCCAATCCAAGGATGTAGAACATGGCACAGCACATATACAGTACATTTTTCTAATACAGATATAAATTACATTTGCACAGGTTTAATTTGACAGCAAAGAATCTGTTGTTGCCAAGATTCACATTTAATGAAGATGAATCTCAACTCCATTGCTCGAGATGTCATTAGGCATAGGAATATAACTTTCTTCACTCAGGTTACATTTGTCAGAGAGTAATCCAAATTCTATCTGCTTAGATCACTTTTCTACTGCACAGACTTCTAAGCGGAAGTCTGTGCAATAGGAAAGATCTTGTGTTGTTATATTTAGGTCATGTAAGTTTATAATCCAACAATAAAATGCATTTTAGCTCGTGGGTTAGCATGGGTGACTCATGTATAGATACTCATAGATTCAAATTTACTCAAGTCAAAGTGTCATTACTGCCTGCAATTGTAAATTATGTTACTGACTATAGATCTACAAACTCCTTAATTTTATTTGGAATAAGGAAGAATTACCTCAGCAGAGGAAAGAGTCTGTTGTAGCAATTTATAAGGGCGATAAGACTAACTGTAGTAATTATCAAGGCATGTCATAACTTCATACAAAATTTTATCCAACAACCTTCTCTCAAGGTTAAGTCCATACGTGGACAAAATTATTGGGTATCATCAGTGTGGGTTTCGATGTGACACATCAGCTACTGATCAGATATTTTATATTCATCAGATATTAGAGAGAGAAAAAAATGAGAGTACAATGAGACAGTACATCAGCTATTCACAGACTTCGACAAAGCATACGATTTAGTCAGAAATTAAGTATTGTACAATATTCTCACTGTTAGCTTATTAAAATGTACAGTAAAGTCTGTAAACATCTACCTGACACATATCCTATTTAAAATGGTCTAAAAACAAGATGTTTCATCATCCTTACTTTTCAACTTCGCTTTAGAATATGCAATTGAGAAGGTCGAAGAAAACCAGGTGCGACTGAAATTGAATGGGACACATCACCTTCTGGTCTATGCTGATGATATAAATTTGTTGGGGGACAACATAAATACCATAAAGAAAAACAGAAGCTGTAACTGATGCTAGAAAGAAAGTTGGTCCAGAAGTAAACACAGAGGAAACTAAGTATATGTTGATATTTCATCACCAGAATGCGGGGGAAAAATCATAACAAAAAGATACCTAATGGACGCTTTGAAAATGTAGCAAAGTTCACATATCTGGAAGTGACAGTAACAAATCGAAATATGATTCATGAGAAAATTAAGAGCAGATTAAATTCAGGTAATGCTTACTACCATTCAGTTCAGAACCTTCCATCTTTTCATCTGCTGTTTAAAAATATAAAAATTAAAATATACAAAATTATAATTTTGCCTTGGTCTCTGACACTAAGGGATGAATATACAATGAGGGTGTTTGAGAACATTTGCACCTAAGAGGGAAGAATTACTAGGAGGCTGGAGAAAGTTGTACTCCTTGCCAAATATAATTAGACTGACCAAGTCAAGGAGGATGAGATGGGCAGGGCATGTAGTCCACACAGAAGCGAAGAGGAATTCATACAGAGTTTTGGTGGGCAAACTAGAAGGAAAGAGACCACTAGGAAGACTTAGATGTAGGTGAAAGGATAATATTAAAATGGATCTTAGAGAAATAATATGGGGTGGTATTGAATGGATTCATCTGGCTCAGGATAGGGACCAGTGGCAGGCTCTTGTGAACATGATAATGAACCTTTGGGATCCATAAAATGTTGGCAACTTCTTCAGTGGCTAAGCGACGGCTTCTCAGCAAGGACTCAGCTCAATGGAGTAAGTAGGTACGTTACTGACTTGTCCCTGTTGTTACTCAATTGATCTGAATTTTTTAATACAGATTCTGTTTATGTTAAATTTTGTAGGTAAATTTTTTTTACACATTATCATATTTGTAACTGCTTACATAAATATTATTTCATATACTTCCTTTTAAACATGTAATTTTCAAAAATTTCATATATTTAAGCATACAAGAACTGTAAAGACAAAGAAATATCAACCAAATATATTTTGTTCGCCTCTTGCTGTTTCATAACAGAAGCAATAAAACAAAACTTTTTAATACAGTTTTAACTAGATGTTTCATGTCAGTCAATTACCAAAACCAGGAATGCTTAGTACAAAGTATATATTAACTTGGTACACACCCATCAAAATTCTTTAAAAAATGTTATTTTGACTTTACAATGACAGCAACTCCATGTTACAGCTTTTCTCACAATGTACTTTCTTATGCTTATGTGTGGTAGTTACGGCTTTGTGCGCTCGGAAGACTCCAGATCAATGTTATGATGACACAATACACACAAGTATGCCGAGAGTCTTTTTGGGAGTGTAGGGGATACATCAGAGGTTGGCAACACTACAGAACTGTACATGGTCTGCCACAGACAAGTCAAATTCAGTGTCTACAAGGAGCCACTTAAAGAAGGAGCCGTCACATCATAACCACCTACTTTTACTAATTACAAGCTTAAACTTAAGGTTTATTTTTTTTATTCCTGTATTTTCCCACAAATACAAATATATGAATTTCACTGAACACATTTCCACTTTATTTAACTGAAATAGAAAACAGTAGTACACAAGGAGCTATCCGACATTCATTTAAAACTTAAAATTTATTAAAATAGGGGCATTTGGAGCTGAACATCATGTATAATTTGAGAACTGAGTATGGCTACTTAAAATATCAAAGAAGGGTGCATGTGGGCCATAGGCTGCATGTCTGACATGTCTCGTCTACCCTGAACAGTTTTATTTATTCATTTTGTTAAGAAACTGTGTTATTATGCAATCATCACCTCATTATTAAGCTGATGGGCCTTGTCCTCAGCTCGTTCAACCATTTTATACTTCCACTACTTGCTTTCCTGTAACCCACTTTAATATTAAATTCTGATTCACACTTTTGTCTTCCAAGTGGTCTTTTCCTTTCGTTTCCCGATCAAAATTTTATATGAAATTCTTCATATCCTGTGTGTGTTATGTGTCTGGCCTATTTCAACATTTTTGATATAATCACAGAAATTAATAAATTTACTGCTCGAAATCGTACTCCTGCTTCATATCTGGGAGATTCAGGTCTCAATCTGGAGGACAACTATACTGACTGTGATTGTTCATAATTTTCCTGAGTTCCCCAAGTAAATAATGCGATAACAGCCCTATCTTAAAATAACCAACAACTGCTTCTTTCAACATCCTTCCAATTAATCATTCATAATCACACTCATTCTATACTACAAACCTTATTCAGTTGAAAAAACATCAATAAACAAACCAAGAATCAATCAGTCAATAACAGATGAGGTTTAATAAAACACTCATATAGTGCAAAATTAAAACATATGATGAAAACAAAAATTTAATTTACCAATGAATAATTATCAAATGAGCAATTCTATTATGCTTTAAAACCAAGGTGAGTCAAAAGTATACAAACACTAATATCATACAGCAAATAAGCTTGGAAATTATCAATAATTACTACCAATTACCATCACATTCCAAATACGTAGCCAAACAGGAAGACGGTAAATTTGGAGATTGTTCAATAATTTACCACTTCAATGTAAATAACACAATAACAAGGAATGAAACTGTGCCAAGAGTTCTAATCTTCTGCAGAATTAAAAGTTATCTCACGCTCATTGAAAACCACTAGAAATACTCATATAAACACAAATGGCAATATAAATTCAAGCAAGTTTAAAAACCTGATAAAAATTTAAATGTGACATTACCATCTAATATTATCTAGGCCTTCAAAGAAATATCCAAATCAATTACACAGAACTACAAAGGATCAACTCAGATGTAAACTGAACAGACTGGAAAGAATTATGAAATAGCAACAAGTGGATGTATTATGAAAATTATACCATGTTCCTCTTTTCTGCATTTATGATTTTGCCCAGAAAATTACCATTGTTAGCACAAAACAGAATCTGATGCATTCAATTCAATATGAGTCCCCCCAATTTTCTTGAACCCTACCAATGATATTATGTAAATCAAATAAAAAAGGGGGGCTGGAAAAGGGGATACTAACCTGCATAAAAAATTCAAAGTTGGACACATATCATCTAACCTTCACACTATTTCACATTACTCAGCTAGCAACAGATTTTTAAAACTGTTAGGTTCGAACAATGATTCCACAACTTCCTTTTGACATTGCAGTAAAGCAAGATTGGTACCAGTGACTACAAGCAAGCAAACTTCTGTATAAAATGCCAGCTGTATCTATACACTATAAAAAAGGTATAGTTTCTTTCACAAACTGTATAAAAATATGATGAACTTCCACCCTGGATATAGCACATCAACAATCATTACTACCTTGTTGTATGCAACCTTTTAAGAAACATAAAATTATCAGTATTAATTCCTCTTCAACACAACAAACATGAAACATGAGATACCACAGAAGAAATTCCCTTTCTGCTCTACTACTCTGGACATTTATCAGACTATGTGACATCAGAACTAGGAACAATATTACAACAAGGGATTACATATATCTGAAACTGAATTCTGATTTAATTTATGGTCGATGCTAAACACAATGCATATAAATCTAATCCACCTAACCTCT